AAAACCCAGTAATCCCCAATTCTCCCTAGTACTCCCATAGGTTCCCTAAAAGCTCCCCGGGACCCTTCCGTCCTTGAGCCACCCTTCCATAAGGATCCTATAGTTGGGGTTTGCAGATTGGTAGGTCTTTGTGGTTTTATGCACTTCGAAGGAAGGGGTCGGTCGAGCCAAGTGTTTGCAGGTTTTCATCGGTTTTTGAAGGAGAGAGAAGCACAAGATTGCTGGTCAGAGTTGTAGCCAACATTTATCCAGTGTCCTCCAACCCGGTCCCTGTGGGCCACTTCCAGGGAAGGACGTCCGGTTCGAGCTCAACTGTCGCCAGCAGGTGGGGGGGGGGAATTGTTCTTGCTCCGCGTTGCTGCCCTGCATGGTTTTGTGCAGTCCAGGATGAGCCGAGGCCCCAAATGCCATGCTCTAGGCCCTTGATCCCACATGCGAAACCGCAGCCCTTTTCCGTGCCGGCAGAAGTTTCAGCGAGGAATCTGAAAAGTTTTTGAACGCGTCGTGGCTTAAAATTGCCGCAGGAAGAATCGTACCAGACCTGCAATCCTGAAGGCTCGCCCCGGTGAAGCTGGAAAGCCCGTATCCCTTGACTCTGAACTCTGCAAGCCCCAAAGCCGTAAGCCCTGAGCTTCGCACCTGCACCCCGAAACTTGGCATCATGAGGCCCGCCCGCAGCTTGCATCGTCAAGGACGGAATACTTGCACTTTGAGACCCCGTCGATTGACGCCCGGCTGAAGCAGATCGGGAAAACACACAATCTTTGGTTTCGAGTGTCCGCAGACTATGCAGAAGCAGTAGTGGTCGAAGTGGGAGCAGAAATGGCAGTGGTAGAAGCAGTGGCAGCTGGAACGAAATGGAGGAGCACAAGGAGTAGGAGAGGCTGTGGTAGTCGTTGTAGCGGTCGATGCGGTGGTGGCGGTGGTGGTGGTGGTGGTGGTGGTGCAGCAGCAGCAGCAGCAGCAGCAGCAGCAGCAGCAGCAGCAGCAGCGGTGATAAGACGGCAGCGGAACGAAGAGAGATGAGTCAGCAGCAGCAGCAGTATCGAACTTTCTGGCAAGAGCAACAAATGCCAAGCAGACTAAGCGAGCTGCCCTAAACCCTAAACCCTAAACCCTAAACCCTAAACCCTAAACCCTAAACCCTGTGATGATTACACCCGGAAGCCGAGAAGAGCGGCCAAGGCGTTTCTCATCGTTGCTGCGCATGCGGGCAACGAGTTCCCAAAGGACGCGAAGCCACTAGACTGCAATATGGGGGTTTCCGAAAATAGGGGACCCCAATATAGTACCCTGAAAATAGGATCCTTATTATAAGGACCCCCAAAATAAGGTACCCTAATTTTCTAAACCCTAAACCCTAAACCCTAATTTTTGGAAACTCCCATATGTGGACATGCATCATTGGCCTGCCAGTACATCTCGTTTCGAAGCTGAATCGCCGTGCGGGTCCTTATAATAAGGATCCTATTATTTAGGGTACTATATTATAAAAAGGATCCTATTATTTAGGGTACTATATTAGGGTCCCCTATTTTCGGAAACCCCCATTTGAAGCCAGGGCCACAAATTTCCGCGGGTGACGCTGTTCTCAGTGTCTCTCTGTCTGTCAGTGTGTCTAGTTGGCTGCCCCCTGTCTCGGTGTCTGTGTGCCTGTGTTTC